GGGGGAAAGAGAGAGGGAAGTTGGGAAGGTGAGAGGGTGCGATTGCTCTGGCCTGGCCTCCTGCTGGGAGCAGCTCCAGAGCCCTGAGTCCTCCTTGCAGTGGCCTCCGGGGACATTATGGTCCTTCCAGTTGGAGCGGATGTGCAAAGAGCAATGGCTCCTGTAGTCTTTCTATCCCTGTGGGTGCTGATCCAAGGCTCTGGGGTGAGGTACCTACCATCTGTTGCTCCTCCTCACTGAGGGCAAAATCCAGGGGTGGCCCCACGCAGAAGGATAGAATTCTATATTCAGCTAGAATATCTTTCAAATCTCCAAGTGCGTAAAAATCGTGTGGGAAGGAAGAAATAAAACTACAGTCGACCTTGTACAACACAGGTTGGAACAACACATATACACTTTCGGGTGCACTTTTTATAAACAAAGCATACTGCTGTAACTATATGTTCCCTTCCTTATGATTGTCCTAACATTTTTTTCTCTATCTTACTTTATTATATGTATATAGTATAGAATACAAATAACTTGCAAAAGAGGGATCAATTATGTTTTCACTAAGGCTTCCAGTCCACAGTTGACTATTAGTAGTTCAGTCTCAGGAGAGTCAAAAGTTATACACAGATTTTTGACCTTGAGAGTCAGCACCCTTAACCCTGCATTCTTCAAGGGTCAGCCTGCATCTTTATTTACAGAGGACATGCTCCTAAACATAGAAAAATCTCAAGTCATCCACACACAAAAATATTAGCATCTATAAACTCATTCTGTAAGGTTGCAGGGACCATGTATACACACATCAGTTGTGTTTCTATGCACTAGCAATGAGCGATCAGAGAAAGAGATTACGAAAGCAATTTCATTGACAGTGGCACCCAAAACAGTAGAATATTTAGGCATCAATTCACTCAAGGAGAAGTAAGACCTGTTCACTGAATAGTAGAAAACATTGCTGTAGGAGATTACAGATCTAATGGGAAAGACTGCTGTGTGCATGTATGGCTGAATTACTGTAGTTCCTATGGCGATACTACTCACAAGGATCTACAAAGTCAACATCATTCTATCAGAATTTCTATTCTACATTTTCTAGTTGCTATCAATCTCTTGCAGTACCTTTCCTTTCAGACATTGTCTCTTTTGGCTCTTAGATGGGGTCTTTTTTATATTTTCCATTTATCTATTTCACATTTTCAATGGATGGTAAACACTTACACTAAATGTTCTCATGTCCTTTTCTGGTGGTTCTCCCATCTACACCAGCTCTGGGTTCTGTTCAGATGACTGATCTGCCTCCTGATTAGGGGTCATTTCTCCTGTGAGAGCTCCAGGCCCAGTTCCCTCTACTGCTTTCAAATAACTGCCCCTGAGTTGCAGATCTTGCTGTCCATGGAGGCCCTGAGCAGGACCGTGCTGCACGTCGCCCCAGTGCCCCTCCAAAGCTCTGGCTAGGTGACTTTCCATAACCCTGTCCTCCTGGGGACAGTGTTCTGGGGTCTCACAGCTCAGTGTCCTCACCTCCAGGAGGTCCATGGGGCTCCTCCTCAGGTTCCCCTTCCCTGTGGCCTCACTTGGAAATTCTCTGGAGCCAGTTCCTTGGAGCAGATGTAGGACTCCACTCACCTGTGTGCTTCCCTGTTTCAGAAGGTTCTCTTCTTTCCCTGATGCCCAGAAACTTGGAAATCTGCATTTCTTGCATCTTGTGTGTCTTTGCAGTTGCTTTGTTGTTTCAGGCAGGAGGGTAAATTGCAGTTGTGTGGGGTCCCTATTGGGGTGGCTCCCGTATTTTAAAATCAAGCTGGGAAAGGTCATCTAGATTCTGAATACAGACTTGTACAGAATGTAGAACCAGAGCCAGGGTGAAACCTTGAAGTAAGAAAACCCTTATAAGTTTGTGTTTACAAAGCACTGAGTCAGACCAAAGGGCAGCCTTTGTTGTGTACTTTTTTTCTTTTTAAGAGAAGCCTGTGCCCTTATGGGCCCAACAGGCTACTTGAGAAGGATGAAGCAGGAGGACTGAGTGGCCCCAGGACCCCCATGCAGGGCTGCCCTGCTTTCCAGGTTGGAGGTGATGGAGACCTCGCTCACATAGTAGCTTGATTTCCTCCTGGTTGAACGTCTAGCCATTGTAGGCAGTCTCCCTGCTGCCCACCATCTCTGGCAGGAGAATCAGGTCTGGTAGGTGCACCTTAACCACCTGGGGTTGTCCATGGGGGGGCCTCCTTCCTGGCCTTGCCCAGGGGCTTCAGCACTGAGTCAAGAGGGGTCAGCCTCCACCACTGGGGGGCACTGTGCGGTGGCAGACCCTGCTCTGAGGTCCAGTCCCAGAGCCCATGGAGGTGCACCTGGGGGCTGAGGCAGAACCTGGGGAAGGTGAGCTTGTTCTGCTGCTCCACTGCTGCCATCTCATCAGCTTTTCTGAGACAGTTTTTCCTTGACACTGGGGGAGAGGGCAGGATCCCCCTGCCCATTGTGCGGGGGCCGAGAGGATGCTGCCCTGAGGTCTGTGGTGAAGAGCCCTCCTGTGCCAGTGGGCATGGCTCTTTAGAGCTCCTGAGCCTGCCCTGCTCATTTCTCTTCTCTCCAGTGTCCTCCCCAGGAAGGATGAGCATGAAGACCACGTGGCCTCATGGGAAGTGTGGGTTTCTCACAGACTTTCTAGGGTGTCTCATGGGTAACATTGAGCCCAGGGCTGACTTCTGTTCCCTAGGAGAAAGGGAGAGCCCCGAGTTGTGTCAAAGCCCTGGACTGCAAGGCTGGTGCTAAAGGAGGGCCAGGGATTCCCAGCTCCCATCCAGACACTCCCCTGCTGGTCCCAGGAGACCAGAAAAAGGGCTCCACTCACACACATTTTTTACCTTACAGTTCTGAGAGTGCAAGGTCCCAACAAGGATCTCATTGGACTAAAATCCAGATGTCCACAGGGATCTTCCCTTCTAGAGGCTCTAGGAGAGGGTGGGAATTAGTCAAGGGAAACCACACTAAAATGCAGTCCCAAGGTTTTAGCAAGGGAGCTCCTCTGCCCTCCTTACCTCCTAGGGCATTGCAGCCCCAGGAGAGGGGCTGATCTGACCTTATAGGGACTTGACATTGCACAGGCATAGACCTCTACTAACCTGGCCAGAGGAAGAAACGCTAGCTTTTCCTCCCAGGGAGACACCAACACTCTTCCGACTCACAGTTCACACCAACGGACTTTTAGAACAATCTTCCCAACTGACCCCTTTCCTCTAAAATGAAGAGTGTCCCTCCCATTTGTTCTCTGGACTCGCCTATGGATTTGCCAATGTTGGTTTGTCCAAGATTGCCTCCCCCTTTAATTCCCAACAAATTCCATTTTTGCTGGTAAAATAACCAGCAGTTTCTATTTTTTTAGGTGAACCAGGCGGTGTGTCTCTTTGCCTGTTCCAGCTTTTAGAGGCCCCTCCTCCATGCTCAGCCCCAGCAGGCAGAGTCCTCCTCATCCAGCATCCTTCTGACCTCCTTCTCTGCCTCTTCCAGTTTTAAGACTCCCTTATTATTCCAGGGGCTGCTAGAAAATCCAGGATCATCTCCCCATCTCAAAGTCCTTAACATAAGCATCTCTGCAGGGTCCCTTTTGCTGCTGATGGAACATGCGCAGAAGTTCCTGGTGATGGAGATTTGGAATACAGGTGAGGTTTGGTGGAGTGTGGTAAGGAGCTAATGACGAAGAAAGAATTCTTATGATGTTATTCTTACAATGTCTCTGGTGCAAAATGTTGGTTTTATTAAAGCATGGGACAGGACCCTTGGGCAGAAAGAGCTGCTGCCCTGGGGTTGGGATCCAAGGCCCATTATACACTTGGGCATTAGGGGTAGGGAGAAAGGGAGGTTTTCAAGTGAACTTTCATATTCTAAGAAGACCTACAAGATACTAGAGGCCTTTGCCATTGTCATATTAGGTTGATTTTCCCTATAGTAAGGTATTACTGATAAGACAGCTTGGCAGCTTCCTGGAACTGTCATGGAGATCCCACCCAGGAGTAGGAGGTCAGGGGTTCAGAGAGTCAGCCTGTGCTTTGTCCTTTAGCTAGCTTTCTGCTTCCTCCTCTGTCATTACCATGGACACCTCCTAGGGAGGGAGCATTATTCTGCTCAGTGCCGCACTATGAGCTCAGGTGACAACTAAAGTTGAGTGCCCCTCTGTTCCCCAATCTTTTCTAATTTCAACAATCTGGTAAAAGGAAAGCCCTTCCTCAAGGCGCAATCAAGATGAAGGCAAATCAGGACCCTAGGACACTCCATCCAGGGCCATACAATTGCCCAAGTACTGGTCTCTTGGGAGTATTTGTTTTGCTTTGTTTCCCAGACCTGGATATTTTCTGTCCACAGGCCGACTTTGTTGCCGAAATCTCATCCAAGGGGAAACGCCCCGCGCTGGAGGGAGGGAAGGCGGTGGCAGAGGGGGTGGCCTGGTACCCCGCTAACCCCCTGCTGTGAATTCTGAGCCCAGTCTAAGGGAGCAGAAGGGATGGTTTCCTTTGGCCCTGTCCTCAAAAGCGGGATCCTTGGGCGTTCTCTCTCCGGCGGCCACGAGGGGGCGCGCGTCCCTGCCCAAGGAGCCCGCCTGGTGAAGAAGCCAGCCCTGGTGGTGTTCTCAGGGCCTGGGACGTTGCTGCCAGGTGTCAGCCAGAGGGCCAGCCCAGAGATTGCTGACTTTTGGTTCCCTGCCCCATCCCGCAGGGTGTCCAGACCTGGGGGTTGTGTGGAGGACTGGCTAGGAGGCTGAGCCCCACAAGTGCAGCCAACGCACTCTGTCTCCTCAAAGCAGGTTCTAAGGAGCAGGAGAGAGAGAGAGAGAGAGAGATGGGTCTGTGCTTCTCTGCTGGAAAGTCCTCCCTCATGTTCCTCTCAGGCTGGGGCAGCCTTCCCTGCGCTGAGTGCTCTGTGTGCGTGCGTGCGTGCGTGTGTTTCTGACCTCACGGACAGGGCGTGTCTGATGTAAATCAGTTACCGTTAGGCGGCGGTTCTGGGCGGGACAATTCCTGGGGCAGAGGATGAAGCCGTACTGTGGCTTCCATTGCATTAGGAAGACTCCTGTGGAGGGTGAGGATGCTTGGGGCAGGAATGGGTGCCGAGGGTTTTGGGGTGTTGGTTGGCGAGTGAGTGTGTGTGCAGGGCGGATGGCGGGTGAGGCTGGTATGGGGCCAGCGGAGGCGGAACCATTCATAATTACCTCACAGAGAAGATATCTGTATCAAAGTAGATGGTTTTCCCAGGTTGAGGCTTGTCCATTCCAAATGTGGGAAACTTGACTGCCTGATTTGTGATAATAAGGAACTGCATTCACGCTCTCCTTAGATGGTAACTGTTCAAAGATAGAATACTCTTTTCTTTGTGTTCTCATAGGTTTTTCTCTTTTAAGACAATGCTTATAGTTGTTGGTGTTTTGGCCCTCGCAGTTACTTAATGAACGCATGGTTTTTAGCACACTTAATTACATCACTGCCTGGTGGTATGTCCTGGTGGTAAATCCTGAAGGAATAAGGTGAAATTTCTTTGGTAATTTGAGCCAGATTAGTTGTACAACTGGATCAGAATAAACACACATTTGTCAACTACCAAATGTTCTTTAATTCTGATTCCAAATAAATTATTTGGTGATGTTGATGTAAAAAAAAAAAAAAAACCCACAGAAAAATTCTTTTCCTTCCCTTCTGGTGATGTTCCCTAGCCCTTGTAACATGAAGGACACTCTGAAGGGCATTTCCATCTACAATAGGTTCTTTCCAGCACCCTCTTCCTGAGACCATGGGGTGTGTGCTTTCTGGCTACAAGGAATAAAAACCCTAACTTGTTTCCTGGGACGTGTGTTCTGGATGACTTGGCTTAAGGGAATTGCCACCAGCTAAGCTCTGCCAGGACGGCAGAGAACCATTTTTCACACGTGCGTGGTGTGGAAGGTTTTCCAAAAATGAATGTACTTTTTCAAGGTAAGATTGCTCACTGTACTTCCTCTGTTCTTATCCCTGCTGTTTTCCTAACCATGGGAAATTGTATAAAATAAGAAAGTGAGTTATGATAGATGAGTTTTGGGATAATAAAAGCTGTTGGGGAGCCTGTGTGGCTCAGTGGGTTAAGCTTCTGCCCTCAGCTCAGGTCATGATCCCAGGGTCCTGGGATCCAGCCCCACTTTGGGCTCCCTGCTTGGCGGTGAGCATGCTTTTCCCTCTCCCTCTGCTGCTCCCCCTCCTTGTGTTCTCTCTCCTTCTGTCTCTGTCAAATAAATAAATAAATAAGTAAAATCTTAAGAAAAAATATTGATAGCTGTTATAATCCTGAACTTCAGGGAATTGATGACAAGGACCACGAAGTAGCAGGGCAATATGCCTTTGGGCTTTTCGAGTTGCAAATGGGCACGTGCAAGGGAATGATACATGGTTTTGGAAGATAGCTCAGCAACAAATTTGGCCATCACAGCCATGAAACCAATGATCCACCAGTCACTCTGTACACAGATTATCCTGCTTTAAGTTTGGCCAATGGCAACTATTTCAAGAAACATCAGAGACTTGCATAAGAGCACAGCCAACAAATATGGGGATGACATAAAAGATTGTATTGCCAAATCAGTACCCCCAAACCATAAATTGTATTCAATATCAAGTTTTACTTACATTTTCAAGGGTAGAATTGTGAGGTACCAGCAAAGCATCCGAGACCCCCAGCAACACTAACTCTGAGTTGTAGAATTGTTTTGTCTGTTAGCCTTCCTTTCCACCACAGAACCTAGAAAATGTTCAACAGAGTCTCTTCTTGTCTTCAAACTTAATCTGAGGACACAGTAATTTAAACTCTTAACCCAAACTTTCCATTTTTTTCCCCTAACCTGTGTTGAATACCAGGGATTTTGATTGCCCATTCCCATTTCCAGTGAGACTGCAGTGAGTGCAGAGAGTAATGTGGTGCATCCAGGGAATATTCTGTTTCTTGGTCTACTTCTGTTCTTAGTGTGCCAACTTTAGTCGGCCAGTGGACCTCTGACCACACATGGGAAAGCCAACAACTATTAAAGTGTAGGGTCTCTGGGTTTATCTTGGGAAATGTAGGATTTCCAACATTTAGGATTCTCCAGGACTCAAAAGGAAGGACCAAGGGAGCTGCTCCATCCTTTCCTTAGGGGGAGTAATTCCAGATTCCTGATGCATGCACCTGTTTATGTTTTATTTATTTTTAAATTTTAGCTAGTCTCCAACACCAACATGGGCTCTAACTCATAACTCTGAGAAGAAGAGTTGGCACGCTCTAATGACTGAGCCAGCCATATGTCCCTCCAGACACCTTTGATGTCCAGGCACATACCTTGATTTTCATGTTGGCCAAAATAGTTTAAACTATGGGATTTGCCTTCAATCTGCTCCACTCCCTCTAGGCATGTTTCCTGAGTTCCTGCTGTGTGGGAGCCCTGTTTCCCACCCACTGATGGAAGACCCTGTAGGAAACTGTATCAGATCCCCTGGGATCTCTTTCATCCTTTCCGTAAAATCCTCTCTTGCTCTCAGTGTGTTTGTGCTCCTAAAGACACCTCTGACTAGGACTGCCCTGGGCTCCTGGAGCTACTTTGTACCCAGTCCCAGAGAATGAGGAGTAAGTGCCATATATGACCACCAGCCCCATTGAACTCCCCTCCCCAAAGGCACTCAGCCCTTCATTAATAGGTACAGGAGGGTGAAATCCCCTTTCCTGGCCTGGGGGAGACTAACTGAGAAACACGTTACCTCTAGGTTCTCTTGTCCCTGTCAGGACAAAGCTCTCCCATGGTTGTTACTGAAAACCACCCCTTTCACAGCCATGAACTGAAAATGGTCACAGATCTAAGTAGAAGAGCCAAAGCAACCAACCATTCAAGGAGAATAGAGAAAATGGTCAGGACTTTGCATTAAGTGAAGAGTTCTGTCACTACAGCAAGAGCCCAATATGTAAGAGAAAAACTTAAGATGAACAACTTTTTTTGCATCCAACTTTACCACTGAGAAAAGGAACAGAGAAGCAACTGATAAGGAGACAATATTTGCAGATTAAATACCCAATGAGGACTCACATCCACAAGACATAAGGGTACTCTGAACTCACTTAATGGGCAGAAGCAACACACCTTTCACAAAAAAAAACAGTATAAGACTTAAATACACGTTACTGAAGAAGACACATGCATGATTCATAAGCAAATAAAAAGGTCATCAATGTTACTAGTCCACAGGACAATTCATGTAAAACTGGGGACCACTTTACACTAACAAGTGTGATTCTGATCAAAAGACAATACCAAGTGTTGCTGAGAACGTGGAGAAAGTGGACCCTCCTAGATTGCTAGGGGGAACAAAAATAAAAGAACCACTTTGGAAGCCACATTGAGAGTTCTTAAGAGTTCAACACAAGCTTCCAAGGACCCAGTGTTTCCACAATGAGAAATCTATCTGAGAGAAATAAAAAAAACATTTGTCAATTCAAGCTTTGTTCAGAAACATCCAGGTCAGCATTAGTCACTATAGGAAGAACCTGACAGCAACACAAAGGACCACCGACAGCTGCATGAAGAAAGGTGGCCCATCTGTACCATGGAATTCTATTTGGCAACAAGGGGAGAGAAATCGGATTGAAGCCACAGCGTGGAGGAACCTGAAAAACATGCTAAGTGAAGGAAGCCAGTCACCAAGAACTACATTCTGTCTCATTTGATTCATATACAACATCCAGTAAGGAGCCATGTATAGAGACAGAAAGCAGATCAGCGTTGCTTGGGGCTTGAGAAGGGAGCATCTATTGTCTGCAGGGGGCTGGAGGAGGTGTGGGGAGGTGAAGGAAGCCTCTAAAACAAACTAGGGTCCTAGCTGAACAACTCTGTCATTGTAGGATACTTTTGCATTGTGTGAAATTCTTGTATATAAATTTCACCAAAAAAAGAAGGCAACAGTCCGACATCAGTGGGTTCTGGGGTCCCCAGGCTAACACTGCCTGGTGAGGTGCTGCATCTTGGAGTCCCAGCAGGTGGTGAGTTAGAACCTGGTTTCTGACCTCACAGCTGGACTCAGGGATTCAGGGCCTGTGCCTTCAGCCTCTGGCCCAGCAGTTCCCCTGAACTCCACAAGGAGGCAGACGACTTAAGGGAGGAGACCTCCATGTGGCACAAGACAAGGGGGCAGCAGGCAAAGACAGGAGGGAACCAGGTGGCTGGAGATTTGGGGAGGAAGTGAGGGCTGCCGGACACATGAAGACAGCGGGCAGGATCTGAATGTATCTTTTTAACTTTTTAAAAAAAGACATTATTATTATTTTTTTATTTCACAGAGAAAGAGAACAAGCAGGGGAAGCAGCAGAGGGAGAGGAAGAAACAGGCTTCTGCCTAGCAGAGATCCCAGTGTGAGGCTCAATCCCAGGACCCTGGGATCATGACCTAAGCTCAAGGCAGAGGCTTAACTGACTGAGCCATGCAGGTACCCCAACAGCTCTTATTAATTCCCAAACCAAGTCTATCATTAACTCACTGTCTTGTTTTATACAATTTCCCATAGTTAGGAAAACAGCAGGGGTAAGAAAAGAGGAAGTACAGAGAGCAATTTACCTTGAAATTGTTTTGTTTTTTTTTTTTTTGAAATATGCACATAACCATGCATATGTGAAAAATGGTTCCCTGCTGCCCTAGGAGAGCCTTAGGCTGATGGTAATTCCCTAAAAGCCAAATCACCAGGAACACCTACTAGAAACAAGTTAAGGTTTTTATTCCTTGCAGCCAGAATGCACACACCCCAGGGTCTCAGGAACAGGGTGTCGAAAGAATCTGTTATAGATGGGAAATGCCCTTCACAGGGTCCTTCATGTTACAAGGACTAGGGAGCATCACCTGAAGCTGAGGAACACATTTTTACTGTGGTTTTTTATTTTTTGTTTTTTACATCAGCATCACCAAATAATTTATTTGGAATCAGAATTGAACATTTGACAGTTGAGAAATGTGTGTTTATTCTGAACCAGTTGTAGAACTAATCTGGGTCAAATTACCAAAGAAATTTCACCTTATTTTTTTCAGGTCTGGGGCTTTTTGATTACTCCAAATTTAGGATCTTCACACTTAAAGCATGGGACATATTTATATCTGCTTGACCATACATTTGCTTAAGTTTCTAAAGCTCCCTCTCTAGGTCTTGCTGGGGCTCTGGGCCACTATTGGCATGTCCTCCAGATGCCCATAGCTTCATTCTGTATTCTGTAATCTTGTCCATGAAGAGTTTCTGTACAAGATCAAGGTCCTCATTAAATGCCACTGCTGTAACACCAATGTACCTCCTCAATGAACTGAGAATGCAGACCGAATGAGAGTGGAGACACTGAAGAGCCTGGGAAAAGTCATGGCAATTCTGTTACTTGAACTCAGTCTGGAGCAGCCAGAGTTCCCACTGAGGCCACATTCTACTTCCTGCCCTGGCTCCTAATTTCTCTGGGCATCAGTTTCCTCATGTGTAAGCTAAAATTGGTATTCACATTCTCCCAATTCCCTTCCTGCTCAGTTTCTATGAGTGTGTGAGGATCTCAGGTGGCTGTAAAGTAGCTTTGGGGACTGCAGCTGAGACCTGACTTGGGCCTTTCTCTGTGTGTCCCCTGCAGGAGCCTGAGCTGACCCCAGACTGAAAACAGAGAATGGAGGGAGAGATGGAAGACAGAAAATCAGCAGTTTTGGGTGATAAGAATAACCCAAAGAAGGACAAGGCAATGGTGGAGCAAGTGGTTGCCAACAGAGGAAATAATAGGGACAAGTCAAGTTCAGAAAAATCAGGGGAAACTGAGGAATGCATATAGCAACATCCAACTCTGCAAGGAGCAGCCTGAGCTGACCAGTGAGGACTAGGAGAACAAGTTAGTCCACTGTGAAACTGCACATGTGCCGAGGTGCCCTGTATGTCAAATTGTACTTCTGGGAAACACCAGTTCCAAGAGGAGGAGGATGTGAACATGAGGCTCTGCTCCAGAGCCCTGGCTTCAACCTTGGAGCTGCCCTCATGGTGGATGTCTTCTAAGTAAGTGTGGGCTTAGAGAAATCAGTAATGTTTGGATAAGGGTTGGAGATGTCTATTCTTACTGCAGAGAGTTCTACCCTAAGGTCAGGAAGGGCAAGGGTAGGGAACCCTTCCATCTGAAGCCACATGATATTAATAATATTCTTAGTAATGCTCCCTGATGGTCCATGCATAAAAAGGGTCAAGGATCTAATCAGAAAGTGAAATTTTACAGAATAGAATACATGAGTGGAGTCAAGTGTTGTAGAGTGGGAGAAAAGTTCCTGCATTTAACAGCACCTAATGACTTCTGGGGAAACAAACCTGACTCTAATCATGGCTCTAGATGCCAAATAACAAAGCAAACCTCTTACTTCCATTGTTTGGACAGAAACAGGGGGCCCTTAATGCACATAATAACTGGGAAGTGTCTGTTTATAGGGTCATGCAATAAAACAGATCACGAGGCTGGTGGCCCAAGAAGGGGATGGATTGAGTTTGTGACAATTTCCCCTAGGTCTTGGAAAAGAAAGGTTTGGGGTTTGAAGTTGCAGGTGGGCAGGCTCATGGTAACATTACACAATCTTGGGAAAATATGTCTAGCACAATTTTGGATTTATGGACACTATAAATATTTAGTCCATGATCTACAGTCATTCTTTTACAGATTATCCACTATTGGCTTCAACTAAAAATGAATTTCCTAGTCTTAGAAATACCAAGGGGTTCCTGGGTGGCTCAGTCAGTGAAGTGTCTGACTCTTGGTTCCAGCTCAGTCAGGATCAGGTGGTAGTGGGATCAACACCCGAGTTGGGCTCCATGCTCAGCACGGAGTCTACTTTAGCTTCCGTCTCCTTCTCCATCCCCCTCTGTTCTCCCAGATAGCACTACTCTTTCTCCCTACAATAAATAAAATCATTTAAAAATACTGATGCTCAAAAATATGCAGATATAAACACATCCTATGATGACTTTGATGAATAACAAGGTAGAGCAGCTTTTTGTTTTGTTTTGTTTTTCAACAGAGAGCAGAATTGAAATTCAGGATGTCAGTGGAAGAGGTGAGTAACATCGTATCATATCAACATCAAAAGTAAATAGGTAAAAGAAGGAATGTATGGAATTATACATAATGTACACAATGATTGGTTGGTTATAATCAAATTAGAATAAATCTATGTTTATATTGACCTGTAGGTCCTGTCAAAATAGGCAGGGCACTGGGAAACAAAAATTGGCCTGAAAGTCATTTGTGTAGTTGGACTTTAGAAAACCATTAGACAAACCTAAATCAAACACACTTAAAGCTGTTTGTGAGCCACATTTTAGTCCATCAGGGGTAAACTTTAGGAGAGACACCTAACACTGAATGGATACTTTGATTTCTTTGAAACATGTCACCTGAGCCACAGGAATGTGACCTTGTGAGTTATACAGGTGAGCAAGTTTTACCTGATAGGATGTTAAGTTTAATGGTTAAAGAGGTCACTGAAATATGCTACACACACCAATCATTACTCAAAGCAAAGATCTTTCACTCTTTCTTGAGGGAATGAAGCTGACAAAAAGGACTACAGATTCTGTTGCAGAATCAGGGCCCGGTGCTTATGGGCAGATGGGAATGGACACCTACTTCAGATTTGGAGTAGGAGCCATTGTTTCCTGAGGCAACTGAGTCACACAGCTCAGTCACATAATTCAGTCACACCCAGCCCTCAGCCTGCCACTATTACTTATTTTCATGTTGCTGGTGTCATTTTATAATAGACCACATCAGAAATGAGAGAAATCAGATTTGGGTACAAACTCATGGCATTTGATGGATATATCATTGCATACTGTTCCAAAGTTTCTGGCAGTGCATAATGCCAGCAATACATTATTGGAGACTAAGTTAAATAATAATAGAGAACATTGGCCTCTAAATTTTGCAACTGTGGTATTAGAGCTAAGCACAAGATAAATTTGCAGCCTTGCCAACTGAAGGTTTACGCTCAAGGAAAGTGTATTAATGGACATACAAAACATTTCGCATGCATTGGTCCACAAGACTCTGTACAATCTGCCCAGCCACAGGACTGCATGTGGGTTGTATTATTCCTTTTCCTTGGGCTGCTGAGAAAAGTGAAAGGGAATGGAATCAGATCCTTCTCACCTGGCAAATACCTAAATCTCCAAAGATATGGTCACTGCCAGATCCAGCTTGAATCTGAAATATGTTTCTTTGTATCAAGATCCAACATCAACATATAAAATTCAGGTGTGATTTATGTGATTGCAATGCCTAACTGAAATGTGAAAAGTAGTATCATTTGTAATAGTGTGAAGCTTGAAATACTGAGGGACAGAGCAGATTGGAAATCACAGACTATTTCACAGAGAAGTGAATGAAGCCTTAGCAAATGAAGAGAATTTCCTTATTTGGGGGTGACAAGAATCAATACTGTTCAAACATCAACTTTCCCCATTTGATCTATATATTCAATTCAATCTCTCTCAAAATCTCAGCCTGTATCATTGGTAGAAAGTGACAGGTTGATTTTAAATTTAATATAAAGATATAAATGACCTAGTATGGCCAAACACTTGGGAAACGAAGAACCAAGTTTTAGGGTTAGCTGTACCTGATTTGAAGAACCATTCTGAAGTTAGACGAATCAAAACAGATTGGTACTGGCATATGACAGATAACTAGATCCATGAAATGGATTACAGAATCCAAAAATAAACTAATACTTATATAGAGAACAGATTTTTGACAAATATGAGAAGCAAAGCATTGTAAAAAGTAAAATCTTTTGGAGCACCTGACTCAGTTGGTGAAGCATCTGACCTTTGATTTTGGCTCAGGTCATGATTTCAGGATCTTGGGATCTAGCCCTGTGTCAGGCTCCATGCTCAGCAGGGGATCTGTTTGGGATTCTCTCTCTCTTCCTCTGCCCTCCCCCAACATAAATAAATAAATCTTTTAAAAAAGCATAATCTTTCAACAAGTGGGAAAGTGTAATCTTTCAACACATGAATATGGATATGACACATGTATATGTATATGAAAATAAATAAATACATAAAATTAGTTTCATAACTCACATTATACAGAAATTAGCCTAATATGGAGTATGGGCCTAAAAATATACCTTAATATTTGAAAACTTGTAGAAGACAACATATTAGAAAAACCTTTAGGAGCACCTGGGTCATACAGTTGGTGACTTATGCGACCCATGATGTTGTTTCAGGTCATGATCTCATGGGTTGTGGGATCAAGCCCAGAGTTGGCTGTACTCTTAGCGAGGAATCGGCTTCAATTTCTCTCTCTCTCTCCTTCCCACTTGCTTTCTCTCTGTCACTCTCTCTAAATTTAAATTATTTATTTGAGAGAGAGGGAGAACACAAGCAGAGGAGCAGGCAGAAGTAGAGGGAAAAGCAGACTCTGCTGAGCAGGGAGCCTGACAAGGGCAGGGCAGGGGAGGGGGTTCTCAATACCAAGACCTTGAGATCATGACCTCAGTCAAAGGCACATGTGTAAAGAACTGAACCTCCTAGATGCCCCCCAAAAATAGCTCCTAAGAAAAACTTTTATAACCTTAAGTTGGACAATGATTTCTTTTTTTTTTAAGAAAGATTTTATTAATTTATATGGCAGACAAAGAACACAAGTAGGGGAGCAGCAGAGGGAGAGGGAGAAGCAGGCTCCCTACTGAGCAAAGAGCCTAATGCAGGACTGGATCCTTGGGACCCTGGGATCATGAGCCACCCAGGTGCCCCAGACATTGATTTCTTAGATATGATTTTAAAATTGTGATTAATGAAAGAACAAATTGATAAATTGCACTTCATCAAAATTCAAAACTTTTGTTCTTCAGAAGACATAGGTGAGAGAATGCAAAGTCAAGTCACACATAGGGAGAAAATAGTTATAAATTACATATCTGATGAAGGTCTAAGAGAATATTGAAAGAACTCTCAAAAGTCAATAAGAAGACAAACAATCCAATTTAAAATGGGTAAAGAAAAGTGCCTGGGTGTCTTAGTTGCTGAAGCAGCTGACTTTGGCTCAGTTCATGATCTCAGGGTCCTGAGATCTAACCCCGGTGCCCCTCTGTCAGTCTCCTCACTGATGGGGGATGTGCTTCTTCTCTCCTCTGGCCTCTTCACCCTACCCCACAGCCCCGCTCTTGCTCTTCCTCCCTCTCTTTCAAATAAATAAGTAAAACCTTTTAAAAATAAAATAAAAATAAAATAAAATAAAATGGGTAAAAGATTTGTAAAGACAGATCAGAAAAGAATATATATGGAAGCCATGTAGGAACATTACAAGATCTACATCATTAGTTATTAGGAAAATGAAAATTTAATCCACTCTCTGCCAGTGAAAATGGCAAAAATGAAAAGCATCTCTATTCCAAGTAGTGGCAAGGATGAGCTAAATTTCTCATACACTGCTTATGGGAATGTGAAATTCTGCAACTACTCTAGAAAATAGTTTGGAAATTCCATTTTTGTTTGTCTTTAAGATTGATTTATTTGAGAAAGAGGGAGTGTAAGTGAGTGGAGGGGGGCAGAGGGAGAGGGAAAAGGACAGAATCTCAAGCAGACTCCCTGCTGAGCACTGAGCCCTACTTGGGGCTCTGTCTCACCACCAATGAGATCATGACCTGAGCCAGAATTAATGTCAGATGCTTAACTGACTCAGTCACCCAAGCACCCCAACAGTTGGGGAATTCTTTAAAATGTTAAACCTATACCTACCATAGGACATCACCATTCCACTCAAATTAAGAAAAACAAAAGGATATATTCACAAAAATATATTGATAGAAACTCAATTTTTAATTGTCATTCAAATCCATCCACAGGGAAATGACCAAAACAAATTGTGGCATATATAGCTCATGGAATACTATTCAGTTTTGCAGAGTAATCTCTTCGCATGCATAACAAAATGGGTAAAAAACCCTTTTTTCCCCAGATAATTATTCTGAGCAAAAGACCATCAAAATAATGTACATGGCATATTATTTCATTAATATAAAACCTTAGAAATTGCAAATAATTCTATTGTAATAGAAAGCCAATCACTGGTTTCCTGACATGGGAATGTGAAGTGGGAATTTCTAGAAGCATAAGGAAACTTTTGGGAGTGATAGATATGTCCACTATCTAGGTGATGCATATATGTATTCAAACTTATTAAATATTAGACTTAATTATATGTACTTTATTTTGTCTAAATTATATCTTAATATACCTGTTGAAACAGTTTAAAATACAAAAAAGCTTTCATACCCTGAAATTCAGTAAGTGTTTTTTTACAGTTTCAAAAAAAAAAAAAATCAAGCATAGCCAGTTTAAAGTAGGCAATGAATTATTCCTTTGGATATGAAAATGAATTTATGTATCTTTATCTTTTTATATGTAACTGTCAAAGAAAAGAAAACCTTAAGAGAACATAAAGGGAAGTCACTGTATAGAAGTATGTTTATACCCAACACAGGACTTTTCTCTAGAATTAGGTATCATGTCTAAGAAGAGGATCAACACAATGAAAGAAATGGTCAAAAGACTTAAATAGAACTTCACAAAACAAGATATATGAATGGTTTATTAGCACATGAAAAGAGACACAACCCATTAGTCAGGAGGAAAAGAAATCAGTATACAAAGAGATACCATCGTGTATCTACTGGAATGGCTAATGTCAGAAAGTCTGAAATCTCACATAAAACACCTGGAAGTCTCATGTAGCTGTGGGAATGAAAAATAGTACTACTTAGAAAATCTGACTTTGAGATACTTATAAGACTAAACAAACACAAATCCTATGGACAGTCATTATATTTCTAGGTATTTACACAATATGTCTACAGAATGATTAGCATGAGAATGTTCATAACAGTTTTATTATTATGCCTGAATTACAACTGTCTCAAACCGGAAGTAACACAAAAGTCCAGTAACAGATGAATGTATCAACAAACATAAAACCCTTGAAATCCTACCCAGCAATAAAAATGTCAGGAAATATTGATGCAGGTGGGAATATGGATGAATTTATTTT